GTCCTCAGAGTGAGGAACGCTGTCCTCAGATTGAGGAACGCTGTCCTCAGAGTGAGGAACGCTGTCCTCAGAGTGAGGAACGCCGTCCTCAGAGTGAGGAACGCCGTCCTCAGAGTGAGGAACGCCGTCCTCAGAGTGAGGAACGCTGTCCTCAGAGTGAGGAACGCTGTCCTCAGAGTGAGGAAGGCTGTCCTCAGAGTGAGGAACGCTGTCCTCAGAGTGAGGAACGCTGTCCTCAGAGTGAGGAACGCTGTCCTCAGAGTGAGGAACGCTGTCCTCAGAGTGAGGAACGCCGTCCTCAGATTGAGGAACGCTGTCCTCAGAGTGAGGAACGCCGTCCTCAGAGTGAGGAACGCTGTCCTCAGAGTGAGGAACGCTGTCCTCAGAGTGAGGAACGCTGTCCTCAGAGTGAGGACCGCTGTCCTCAGAGCGAGGAACGCTGTCCTCAGAGTGAGGAACGCTGTCCTCAGAGTGAGGAACGCTGTCCTCAGAGTGAGGAACGCTGTCCTCACAGAGAGGAACGCTTTACTCAGAGTGAGGAACGCTGTCCTCAGAGTGACGAACGCTACCCTCAGAGTGAGGAAAGCTGTCCTCGGTGTGAGCAACGCTGTTCTCAGTGTGACGAACGCTGTCCTCAGAGTGAGGAACGCTGTCCTCAGAGTGAGGAACGCTGTCCTCACAGTGAGGAACGCTGTCCTCAGAGTGAGGAACGCTTTCCTCAGAGTGAAGAACGCCGTCCTCAGAGTGAGGAACGCTGTCCTCAGAGTGAGGAACGCTGTCCTCAGAGTGAGGAACGCTGTCCTCAGGGTGAGGAACGCTGTCCTCAGGGTGAGGAACGCTGTCCTCAGAGTGAGGAACGCTGTCCTCAGAGTGAGGAACGCTGTCCTCAGAGTGAGGAACGCTGTCCTCAGAGTGAGAAACGCTGTCCTCAGAGTGAGGAACGCTGTCCTTAGAGTGAGGAACGCTGTCCTCAGAGTGAGGAACGCCTTCCTGAGAGTGAGGAACGCCGTCCTGAGAGTGAGGAACGCTGTCCTCAGAGTGAGGAACGCTGTCCTCAGAGTGAGGAACGCTGTCCTCAGAGTGAGGAACGCTGTCCTCAGAGTGAGGAACGCTGTCCTCAGAGTGAGGAACGCTTTACTCAGAGTGAGGAACGCTGTCCTCAGAGTGAGGATCGCTGTCCTCAGAGTGAGGAACGCTGTCCTCAGAGTGAGGAACGCTGTCCTCAGAGTGAGGAACGCTGTCCTCAGAGTGAGGAACGCTGTCCTCAGAGTGAGGAACGCTGTCCTCAGAGTGAGGAACGCTGTCATCAGAGTGAGGAACGCTGTCATCAGAGTGAGGAACGCTGTCCTCAGAGTGAGGAACGCTGTCCTCAGAGTGAGGAACGCTGTCCTCAGAGTGAGGAACGTTGTCCTCAGAGTGAGGAACGCTGTCTTCAGTGTGAGGAACGCTGTCCTCAGAGTGAGGAACGCTGTCCTCAGAGTGAGGAACGCTGTCCTCAGAGTGAGGAACGCTGTCCTCAGAGTGAGGAACGCTGTCCTCAGAGTGAGGAACGCTGTCCTCAAAGTGAGGAACGCTGTCCTCAGAGTGAGGAACGCTGTCCTCAGAGTGAGGAACGCTGTCCTCAGAGTGAGGAACGCTGTCCTCAGAGTGAGGAACGCTGTCCTCAGAGTGAGGAACGCTGTCCTCACAGTGAGGAAAGCTTTACTCAGAGTGAGGAACGCTTTCCTCAGAATGAGGAACGCTTTACTCAGAGTGAGGAACGCTGTCCTCAGAGTGAGGAACGCTGTCCTCAGAGTGAGGAACGCTGTCCTCAGAGTGAGGAACGCTATCCTCAGAGTGAGGAACGCTATCCTCAGAGTGAGGAACGCTGTCCTCAGAGTGAGGAACGCTGTCCTCAGAGTGAGGAACGCTGTCCTCAGAGTGAGGAACGTTTTACTCAGAGTGAGGAACGCTGTCCTCAGAGTGAGGAACTCTGTCCTCAGAGTGAGGAACGCTGTCCTCAGAGTGAGGAACGCTGTCCTCAGAGTGAGGAACGCTGTCCTCAGAGTGAGGAACGCTTTATTCAGAGTGAGGAACGCTGTCCTCAGAGTGAGGAACGCTGTCCTCAGTGTGAGGAACGCTGTCCTCAGAGTGAGGAACGCTGTCCTCAGAGTGAGGAACGCTGTCCTCAGAGTGAGGAACGTTGTCCTCAGAGTGAGGAACGCTGTCCTCAGTGTGAGGAACGCTGTCCTCAGAGTGAGGAACGCTGTCCTCAGAGTGAGGAACGATGTCCTCAGAGTGAGAAACGCTGTCCTCAGAGTGAGGAACGCTGTCCTCAGAGTGAGGAACGCTGTCCTCAAAGTGAGGAACGCTGTCCTCAGAGTGAGGGACGCTGTCCTCAGAGTGAGGAACGCTGTCCTCAGAGAGAGGAACGCTTTACTCAGAGTGAGGAACGCTGTCCTCAGAGTGAGGAACGCTGTCCTCAGAGTGAGGAACGCTGTCCTCAGAGTGAGGAACGCTTCCTCAGAGTGAGGAACTCTGTCCTCAGAGTGAGGAACGCTGTCCTCAGAGTGAGGAACGCTGTTCTCAGAGTGAGGAACGCTTCCTCAGAGTGAGGAACGCTGTCCTTAGAGTGAGGAACGCTGTTCTCAGAGTGAGGAACGCTGTCCTCAGAGTGAGGAACGCTGTCCTCAGGGTGAGGAACGCTGTCCTCAGAGTGAGGAACGCTGTCCTCAGAGTGAGGAACGCTGTCCTCTGAGTGAGAAACGCTGTCCTCAGAGTGAGGAACTCTGTCCTCAGAGTGAGGAACGCTGTCCTCAGAGTGAGGAAGGCTGTCCTCAGAGTGAGGAACGCTGTCGTCAGAGTGAGGAAAGCTGTCCTCAGAGTGAGGAACGCTGTCCTCAGAGTGAGGAACGCTGTCCTCAGAGTGAGGAACGCTGTCCTCAGAGTGAGGAACGCTGTCCCAGAGTGAAGAACGCTGTCCTCAGAGTGAGGAACGCTGTCCTCAGAGTGGGGAACGTTTTACTCAGAGTGAGGAACGCTGTCCTCAGAGTGAGGAACGCTGTCCTCAGAGTGAGGAACGCTGTCCTCAGAGTGAGGAACGCTGTCCTCAGAGTGAGGAACGCTGTCCTCAGAGTGAGGAACGCTGTCCTCAGAGTGAGGAACGGTGTCCTCAGAGTGAGGAACGGTGTCCTCAGAGTGAGGAATGCTGTCCTCAGAGTGAGGAACGCTGTCCTCAGAGTGAGGAACGCTGTCCTCAGAGTGAGGAACGCTGTCCTCAGAGTGAGGAACGCTGTCCTCAGAGTGAGGAACGCTGTCCTCAGAGTGGGGAACGCTGTCCTCAGAGTGAGGAACGCTGTCCTCAGAGTGAGAAACGCTGTCCTCAGAGTGAGGAACGCTGTAATCAGAGTGAGGAACGCTCTCCTCAGAGTGAGGAACGCTGTCCTCAGAGTGAGGAACGCTGTCCTCAGAGTGAGGAACGCTGTCCTCAGAGTGAGAACGCTGTCCTCAGAGTGAGGAACGCTGTCCTCAGAGTGAGGAACGCTGTCCTCAGAGTGAGGAACGCTGTCCTCAGAGTGAGAAACGCTGTCCTCAAAGTGAGGAACGCTGTCCTCAGAGTGAGGAACGCTGTCCTCAGAGTGAGGAACGCTGTCCTCAGAGTGAGGAACGCTGTCCTCAGAGTGAGGAACGCTGTCCTCAGAGTGAGGAACGTTGTGCTCAGAGTGAGGAACGCTGTCCACAGCGTGAGGAACGCTTCCTCAGAGTGAGGAACGCTGTCCTCAGAGTTAAGAACGCTTTACTCAGAGTGAGGAACGCTGTCCTCAGAGAGAGGAACGCTTTACTCAGAGTGAGGAACGCTGTCCTCAGAGTGAGGAACGCTGTCCTCAGAGTGAGGAACGCTGTCCTCAGAGTGAGGAACGCTTTCCTCAGAGTGAGGAACGCTGTCCTCAGAGTGAGGAACGCTGTACTCATAGTGAGGAACGCTGTCCTCAGAGTGAGGAACGCTTTACTCAGAGTCAGGAACGCTGTCCTCAGAGTGAGGAACGCTGTCCTCAGTGTGAGGAACGCTTTCCTCAGAGTGAGGAACGCTGTCCTCAGAGTGAGGAACGCTGTCCTCAGAGTGAGGAACGCTGTCCTCAGAGTGAGGAACGTTATTATTATTATTATTATTATTATTATTATTATTATTATTATTAATGTTAAACACTCCCAGAAGGGTTTTTCAGTGTTCAATAGAGAAGTTATAAAAAGTAATTACTTAATTAAATTATATTCTAAAAACTATATAATATACTATTAACACCAAAATATATAATATCAAGCTAGTTATATTTAAGATAAAATACTTATTAATACTATTTAATTTAAAATTTAGTCAGTAAAAGATGTAATTCAGTTCTATTCATCGAGAAATTGTTGAACCAAATAACTTCGTAGCCCGCTTTTAAAACGTTCCAAATTAAGATTATGGTCTTTTAGCCATTCTGGCAAACTGTTCCATAAACAAGAAGCTCGGTAGCGAAAAGAACGTTGTCCGGTCGCTGTTCTATATAAAGGTATTTCCAATAATTTGCAAGATCTTGTGTTCAAATTGTGTAATTGTGATCTTGTTTGGAACATACGACATAAATATGATGGGGCCATACCATTAACACACTTATAAGCCATTACTGTATCTCGGAATCGCAACATATAATTGACTGGTAACCAGTTAAGCTGTTTTAAAGATGGAGTGATATGGTCGAATTTTTTTGTGCCCGTGACAATACGTGCTGCGAAATTCTGAACTTTTTGCAATTTTGCAATGTTTTTCTTCGATGAATTAGACCATATGGTTGAACAGTAATAGAGTTTACTAAAAACCAACGCGTTTATTAAAATAATTAACGTCTTCATATCAAAAAGGTGCCTTGCTCTATTAATTTGACACAGGCTACCGACACAAGAGGAAACCAGTTTTGTGACGTGTTCATCGTACGTCAAACCACTATCCAGTGTCACGCCTAGATCAGTGGCTGAGGTCACAGGAAACATTTTTTTCCCCAATAGTAAAATATGGAAATCTGCGGTATCTGTTTCAACATATAACGAGTTGCGAACACAAGTAATTTCGTCTTATTGGGATTAATAAGCAGACTATTTAGAGAACACCAAGAAACGACTCTCCGTAGATCTTCGTTAAGCTTAGCAGCCGCTGAGTCCACTTCATTGACGGAAAATGACAAAAGTAGCTTCGAGTCGTCGACGTAAGACTTCAAATTACCATTCTTTGGTACCATAGGTAAATCATTAATATATATGTTGAATAACATGGGACCGAGAATTGAGCCCTGCGGAACGCCATGATTGAGTGTGCGTGTTTCAGAGACAGTCGATCCAGTGCGCACAACCTGCTGTCGTCCTGTCAAGTAACTTTTAAACCAACATAAAGCGTCATCGGACACTCCCAATACTTGGAGCTTTTTTAGAAGCAATACATGATCGATACTGTCAAATGCTTTAGAAAGGTCTAGTAGAATTACAGCTACGACCTCCTTGTCGTCCATAGACTTTAAGATCTTATCCGATATAAATAAATTCAATGTTTCAGTGGAGTGCAACTTCCTGTTTCCACTTTGGTGTACGCTTAAGCATTTCTTCTGTTCCACATATGCTGTAAATTGTTCCAAAACTACACGCTCGCTGATCTTTGATGCAGCAAGTAGCAAGGAAATTGGCCGATTATTTTTAGCAATTTCGTGATCCCCTTCTTTTAATAGGGGAATAACTTCTGACAACTTCCAGGCGCTGGGAAACAAAGATTCTCTTAAAGAGCAGTTAACAATATCCGTAAGAGGTTGAAGAATGTATGGTAAGGTATCTTTGATCACTTTCACAGAAACTTTATCTGGTCCAGGGGACTTATTGGATGGAAAAGAACACACAATTTTACGAATCACGTCACAGGACACAGGGTGAAAATGAAACTTGTCAATTTCTGCACTAAATTTATGTGGTATCTCTGGATGAGTCGATGTAAGACCATATGAAGTAATCAACGCTTTGGATTCTTCTGCCGCTTTTGCTCCGACTGAAGAAAAGTATTCATTAAATTTGTTCGCTACTTCAACGACATTCCAGAATAAGTTAAACGTGTTTTTTCATTTCTAGGAATATATTCTCTTACAGTTTTCCATAGGGAGTTGTTGTTGCTATTTTTGTCATTAATTCTTTTATACACAAATTTTCTGTCGGATTCTCTCAATTTTCTTTTAATTTGATTTCTACATGAACGATATCTGTCCCAGTTCAAGGCCTGCAGGGTTTGGCGGGCAAGTTTATGCAGCGCATTTCTTTTTTTCATAAGTTGAACAATTTCCTGGTCAACAAAAGGGCACAAGCGACGTTTAATCTTAACAGTCTTTATCGGGGCATGCATATCTAATACACTTAGAAATTTCTGATTAAAATTGTCCAGTCGCTGGTTAACGCCCTGGTCAATTGGATTTTCTTGCCAAATCAGCTGTTCTAGATCATTTTTAAACGCTTCAGAAGAATAATTCTTAAAACTTCTTATGACCATGTAATCAGGTAATTTCTTAAGGCAATTTAAGCTTTAATATTGAATAAACCAGAAAGTGGTCACTGATGTGCGTTTCTTCAACTCCACTTTCCACTACCAAGCTTGTGTTAGATGTTAAAATCACATCGATGAGAGATGAGGACTGCAAAGTCACCCTAGTTGGTTCCTTGATAAGTTGGAATAAATTCAAGCTGCTGCAGAGTGAGGAACCTGCCTCAGAGTGAGGAACGCTGTCCTCAGTGTGAGGAACGCTGTCCTCAGAGTGAGGAACGCTGTCCTCAGAGTGAGGAACGCTGTCCTCAGAGTGAGGAACGCTGTCCTCAGAGTGAGGAACGCTGTCCTCAGAGTGAGGAACGCTGTCCTCAGAGTGAGGAACGCTGTCCTCAGAGTGAGGAACGCTTTCCTCAGAGTGAGGAACGCTGTCCTCAGTGTGAGGAACGCTGTCCTCAGAGTGATGAACGCTGTCCTCAGAGTGAGGAACGCTGTCCTCAGAGTTAGGAACGCTGTCCTCATAGTGAGGAACGCTGTCCTCAGAGTGAGGAACGCTTTACTAAGAGTCTGCAACGCTGTCCTCAGAGTGAGGAACGCTGTCCTCAGTGTGAGGAACGCTTCCTTAGAGTGAGGAACGCTGTCCTCAGAGTTAGGAACGCTCTACTCAGAGTGAGCAACGCTGTCCTCATAGTGAGGCACCCTGTCCTCAGAGTGAGGAACGCTGTTTTCCGAGTGAGGAACGCTGTCCTCAGAGTGAGGAACGCTGTACTCATAGTGAGGAACGCTGTCCTCAGAGTGAGGAACGCTTTACTCAGAGTCAGGAACGCTGTCCTCATAGTGAGGAACGCTGTCCTCAGAGTGAGGAACGCTTTACTCAGAGTCAGGAACGCTGTCCTCATAGTGAGGAACGCTGTCCTCAGAGTGAGGAACGCTTTACTCAGAGTCAGGAACGCTGTCCTCATAGTGAGGAACGCTGTCCTCAGAGTGAGGAACGCTGTCCTCAGAGTGAGGAACGCTGTCGTCAGAGTGAGGAACGCTGTCCTCAGAGAGAGGAACGCTCTCCTCAGAGTGAGGAATGCTTTACTCAGAGTGAGGGACGCTGTCCTCACAGGGAGGAACGCTGTCCTCAGAGTGAGGAACGCTTTCCTCAGAGTGAGGAACGCTGTCCTCAGAGTGAGGAACGCTGTCCTCAGAGTGAGGAACGCTGTCCTCAGAGTGAGGAACGCTGTCCTCAGAGTGAGGAACGCTGTCCTCAGAGTGAGGAACGCTGTCCTCAGAGTGAGGAACGCTGTCCTCAGTATGAGGAACGCTGTCCTCAGAGTGAGGAACGCTGTCCTCAGAGTGAGGAACGCTGTCCTCAGTATGAGGAACGCTGTCCTCAGAGTGAGGAACGCTGTCCTCAGAGTGAGGAACGCTGTCCTCAGAGCGAGGAACGCTTTTCTCAGAGTGAGGAACGCTGTCCTCAGAGTGAGGAACGCTGTCTAAATCGCACTGCTTAAAAACTCCATTTTTTCCGTAAATCGCACTAAATCGCACTAAATCGCACTAAATCGCACTAAATCGCAGCGATTTAGGGCGATTTAAGGTCCCAGAGCAGGCCTTAACTTAATCATGTCCTGGCATGATACTCGGCAATTATTGCCGAGTATCATAATCATCTTTCAAATTAAGGTAAAAACCAGACCACCTGCTACGTATAGATGTAAATTGTAAGGAATATGTTAGTAGTTGGTGTGTGTCGTAGGCTACCTCTTTATTAATCTTTCGTAGTATTTTTTTCAGTTTATGTTGTTAATCTTCTCTTCTCTGGCCACTTTCACTTAACTCGCGAATTCTGGTCAAAATTCTGACTTTTCTTTTCAACTTCCAAGTTCCAACTGCCCCAAAACAACATTTGTTGTTAATGCTCTAACATGAAAATTATTTTAGTATTACATGACCAGTCAGATCTCATATACGTCAACTCGTCACCAGACTGCTGAAATTTTCAACTTTTATTCTGCCAAATATTAGGTAGTTTCAAACGTGAAATGAACGTGAATGATCTATTCGTTAACAGTATTAAATTGGAGATTTTCTAGAGTAAATAGCTACGTTGATTATTAGATAAAGAACTGTACAAACGCAAAGAATATTTAGCAGAAGGATGTGTGTTAAAATTCGGTTTCTTGCCAACATACCCACTTAGACAAGGTGCTTACATGCAAATAACTATGCTGCCATAAAGTACAAATATTTTTACAGGTATTTCCATAAAATTTGCATCACACACGTAGCGACAACTCTTCTGGGATATAGGCTCTTTGCAGTTCGCTATAAGTAGTTGAGAGCAATAAGTGACTGGATAGGATAGACAGCTGTGGGATAACCGAGTTTATAATAAAGAATACTTATATGTTATAATTATAGTCAATGCTTGCGTAAGTCACATAATATTTTTCTTCACTTTAACCATTCCTGCATGCATCTCAAAATTTCACATGTCAAATAAATTAAAAATTTTACCGACTGTATCTTGAAATATTTTATAAAATTTCCTCATTAGCATTCAGTACATATCAGCAGGTAGTTCTACCCGGTGTTTAATTCAGATGAGCTACAATCCAACACTCTGTGGACAAACCCACAGGCATTGGCAGCTCGAATGGCGTTTCTCCAAATAAATACCCCCGCTCCCCCCAAGTCAATGTCAAAACGAATTTTTTCATAAAGATATACGACGTGAGTATAATGCGGATATGCAACAGTAAAATTGTTGAGTGTTAAATTTAACGTTATGACAATCAAATATTTCATGTATTTACAATGCAGATATGCGACATTGAGGATGGGAAGTGAGGGATATGCGTGTAAAGTCAAGTTTTAGCTGTTTGTTAGGATTTTTGCAAAAGTGGATTATGTTTAAATATTAATTTTGGCCTGGATTGTAGCTCAAATTGGCTCTCAAATTGTGACCGCAACGTCTGTATGAACATTGAATTATTGACGAACACCTGATCTCAAGGCAGCAATTTACAACTAGTAGTATACTGTAAGCATATAGCACTGGAATAGGATCATAGGCGACGGAACGGAGGGGTTCCCCAAGTAAAAGTGAATTAAATTCAAATTTTGAATTTTATATTTAAATAGGAAATATGTTGGGTTATATCTTGGTCAGTTTATGTAAATTAGTTCACCCCAACCTCTCTTCCATCTTGGTTTAAAAACCGTGCCGGTTAAAGATTAATCGACACAGAAATTTAACTGATAAAATCGACTATTACATAAACAACGTCCAATTTTATAGTTTTTGAACTCTAATTTTGCAGGTATGAATTGAACATTAATGTCAGGAAATTTCTCACAAAACTGAACACAATGGCAGGTATGGCTGTGATTAGTTGAAGACATTAAGCAGTACAATGTTTCTGGTCATTGATATTATAAATATTTCCCCAAACATGCGCGCGTTCGATTTTTCATTCAATTAGTTCTCGAACCGTGTAATTTGCTTTACTATAATTGCAATACAAAACAAAGGCCCTAAGTTATTACATTAAAACACCTACAATATTCAAATAATAATTGGCGATCTAGATTAATATTTCGCTCAGCGTTATGCCGGAATTGCAAGGCTGCAGGTTCGATTCCTGCCAGAGAGCCTAAATTGCATAGTTCGCAACTGCATGCGGTTAGATCTAATTATAAATGTATAAAATTCACACAAGAAATTTCCATCAACTTAGGAAACCCTTATGCCACTTGACTTTTATCAAGTGTCATTAAAATATCGTATGATAAAGGTGTTACTGCTAAAGTCCAACAAAAATGTTGCTTGGAAAAAATCATACTCCAAATAGAGCGTTTGCACATGACGTCACAGCCGCCATGTTGGTGTTCCAATTCAAAAGAATTTTAATTCGTCTCTTTTGTCTGGAGCACCAACATAGACGCCATGGCTTTTGTTGAGTTGGGTCCCTGGAGAGTGAGTGAAAATGCTCTATAGCAACAAAATTTAGACCAAAATTACGAATAAAAATTGAAACAGATCTACCTTTTCTGAGTAAAATCTTTTTCTGAGACAGAAAAAGATTTTACAGTGAAAAAATCTTATAGAACAATCAAGCCCGGCAAAACGTTTAAAAAGGCATATGACTCGAAAATTGAGGATGTTATATTTTAGTCTAATTTTAAAGATTATTGAACACTATAGAGTAACTTCCTTGACAGGTTTTTGTTTTCTTGCTTCGTTTTGGAGATATTTTGTATGATATGAAAAGGACCAACTTCCTACGTGCATATGCATAATGCATGACTTAGCCCTAAAAGCTGTATATCTTTAATACGACAAAGCACAATCAATAGAGAACCTATACATGGTTGTTGGTGTGGACAAATCTCGTGCTAATCGTTCATTTTGAGCGAATTTATTTGCGAGCGACAAAATTATATAAAATTTTAAAGTCAGTGCATATCGTCAAAATGAAATATCTCCAAAACGAAGCAAGAAAACAAAAATCTGTTAATAAAGAAGCTATTCTACAGTTTTCAATGATCTTTCAAATTAGACTAAAAATAACACCGTCAATTTTTTTTAATAATATGTCCTCTAAACATATAGACAACGGCACGAATTTCATCGGAAAAAAAACGTAGCTTTTGTTTTTTTACTAGAAGTGGTAATTATAGTAATTACATTAATTTTATCATTCATATCAGAAAATTGGAAAAAGATCATAATTGTGAGCTCATGGGGATACGTTTTTTCTATCTCTCCTATAAGACCTGCAGGGACGATCATATAGAAAAAACACGAGGAAGTACTAGTCAGACACTCACTCCTAATTTTATGCGCGAATATGTAGCTATACATAGGCTATCTTCCGCCTTTAGATATCTTGACCCCATATAGCTAAATAATACTGGCATTTTGTTAAAGAATCACAGTCAACCGTGATGCTTTGCGCGCTAATATGTTTTGATTGTTTTGTATTGCGCCTTTTTATTAGCCACGCAATTTAGTGACGAGTAAATGTATTAAAGTTTTTTTTGTTTATAATAAAGCTAATTCGTATCGTTTTTAGTGTATGACTATTTTCGAAGACAACACTATTTCAGCTCCGCCGTATTGCACAAATATACATATAGCGCGCGAAGCATCACGGTTGACTGTGATTCCTAAACTTTTTAGCTACTAGCTAATTAATAAAATGTAAAGCTTATCAACTTTACACTGCTAGTATTTTAAAGACGCATCAGGTTGCCATTTTGTTCTGGAATATATAATTATGTGGCGCAATTTTTACATTTGAAATAAATTATTGAGTATCAATGCAACAAAATTAACACAGATGTTTTTATGCTATTTATTTTCATATCCACGCAAAAATCCTGAATTAATATCAAGTCTACAGAAAGTATACGCTATAATTAAAACAAACAAACAAAAGAGGTTAAATAAGTTTACGGTCGAATGACCTCCGTTTTATTCCGGCCATAAATAAGTTTTTTTTCTCAATTTACGTTGATGATCTATACATCTAATTAAAGCTAAAGATTTGGTACGTCTGGTTGTTGTATTTTTGAATTGGTGTGAATTCATTGAAAGGAGTTGTGTTGGATTATTTTGTGGTGATTACATGTATAGATCATCATATTTCATTTTTTTGATGTATAGATCATCATATTTCCTCGCCGGGTTTATACAGAACTCTTTTAACAACAAACCTGTCGCCATCAATAGCCTTAAATCAAATCAATAACATGAGCACAAATAGTAATCCTGATGATATCAACAAGGACTGGGAACGTTGGTGTGATCGTTTCATGGATGCTGTACATCGTCATATCCCGACTAAAATTATTAAAAAACGATCATCTCCCCCTTGGCTAGACAGTGAAACGCATCACCTATTACACAAAAAGGAAACGGCTAGAAGAAAAGCCAAAAAGAGCTGCTGCAGTAACAATCTCTGGGAAAATTTCAGAAACCTTCGCCGTTCCTGTAAGTCGCTGATATCTCGTAAGCGAAAAGAGTTCTTTCAGTCTTTGCCTGTTCTTATGAAATCAAACACAAAACGATTCTGGTCGTTGTTCAAATTTACATCAAATTCATTTAGTGTACCAAACAAAATGAGTTGGAAGCGTGATGAAGGAACTGTCATAGCTGAAAATCCTGAAGACGTTGCAAATCTCTTAAACAACTTCTTTTCTATGTTTAATAAACCTCTTTCCCAAGAAGATTATGATGCCCATCCAGCGTCCACCACCACCTTCTGTGACCCCATAAGCGATATCAACATCTCACCTGATGACGTTCAACGTGCTCTTCTCTCTCTCGATGACAACAAAGCTACTGGTCCAGACAAAATTCCGGCAAAGTTGCTTAGATGTTGTGCTCCATACATTTCCTCATCCCTTGCTGATCTCTTCAATAGAAGCTTAACTTCCGGTAGTGTACCAGCGGAATGGAAAGTTTCTAATATAATACCCATTCCTAAAGGTGGTCAAAAGAACGAAGTTTCAAATTATCGACCCATATCTTTACTTCCAATTGTATCAAACGTCCTCGAGCGTTGCATATACGACCAATTGATCAACCATGTCTCAAGTGAACTGCATAACCTCCAATATGGATTTCTCAGGGGGAAGTCTACAACATCACAATTACTAAAGGTTCTACACGAGTTTGGTGAGTCACTCGACAAAAGAATTCAAACTGATGTCCTTTATCTCGATTTCGCTTAAGCGTTTGACAGGGTCAGTTGATCATCAGTTGCTTCTCAAGAAACTTAGTAATTTTGGAGTTTGCGGAAACTTGCTGAGCTGGTTTCATAACTATCTAACAGATCGCCATCAAAAAGTTGCCATTTTAGAGCGACAAAATGCACAAAATACAAAGGAAGGCAAAATTTAAGAAGGATGCGCGGATGGAGAGGTCTGCGATTCAACTACCTCAAAAATGAAAGTAATAAAAACGTCAACGTTTCAGGCGCCTTTCGTCGGGAAATTAGTAGCCGACGAAGGGCATTTGCTAGAATTCGAAGTTTTCTCGTGTCATTATTACTACCTACCATGAGGGGCGAAACACACCAAATATCATGATAAAAAAAGTAGCATGATCATAAGAACACATTGGCATCATATACTAGACTTAGTTCCGAAATATCACACATTCGAACGGACTTGCCCTCCTAGTTCAGTTGGCATGGCATTGGATTAGTATCCCAAAGGTCGAAGGTTCAATTCCCACTGCGGTCTGGCTAACTTTTCAGCCTGCCCTGTTTGGATATACACTCAGAGTAACATCAAAAACTTTTTTAGTCACCTGAGTACATAATATCAACACACACACCAAAAAATATCATAATCAACAATAGTTCGTATACACAGTGGAAAAAGCTTGACATTATTCTATCCTGGGATGAACCTTGTCAGGTCTTAAACAACCATACGCACAACCTCGTTCCCAGGCTCTTTCCAGGGAACTAGGTTGCCAAATACACATATTAACCAAATGAGCGACAGTGTGTGAAAACAGATAATAATTTTAGACATTATACTGAACAGTAAATTCTTCTACAATTCATTCTAATATTTAAATAAAGAAAATTCTTTCATAACTTGCTCCACTATGGGTATTACTGGTAGTACTAGTTACATACTTGAATATATAGTTTGAGACTTTGAGTTGAATTATTGTACAATTATATTATTGTATAAGTATAGTTAGTTTATTAAAGTTCAGCAGTAGTTGATATTTACTAGTGGCTACGTACTATTTCAGTCAACATCACAAATAATGAAACCAAGAATAATACATGGCCCATTATGCAATCTAGGCCTTAATAAAGACGTCATATTTGCATATACACATGCACCTTTTAGGAGTGGACCGCCCTGGCGGGAGTGGTGGGGGAGACCTCTGAACAAAATCAATCTATATAGGTGTGCAAGTTGAAAGTCATGGAAACATTAATGGACAGGAAAAACTGATTCCTGCAACTACATAGAATATTCTGAAATGTATAGAATAAATTATCGCACAGCTTCTAAACCGTAAAACAAAGTTCGACAAAACTGCGAACTTTGAAAAAATTCCCTCCTCCTAGAATACGTAAGGTCCACTCCTAATGTTTAAACACGTTAGCCTCTCACAACTAGATAATTTGATTTTCAAGAGAGTTGATTTTCAAGAGGGACGTATAACTAATTATTATCAAATTGAAATGAAACCAGGCTTAAGAAAAAAAAGGCTCTTCTACAAATTTCTAAACTGATTGAAATCTAGAGCTTGAAATAGGTGTCTGCCAATGGTCAAAAGCAACAAGTTGCCGTTTGCACATGGCCAAAATAGCGGTCAGTGAATGGCCAAAAACTATAGGCATGTTTGATAAAAGGAAAATTTGCAACTGTCAAATAATCGAAATGTCAGGCCATATAATGTTTCTATTTCTGGCCCTGAGAATCGTACTTGAAATTACGACGTGCTTCGTCCCACTAGACTGTAAAAGGCCTTTCGATACATTCTTAAACGCCAAGCATAAATTATGGGATTCATAAAGAAATTCACATAAAGAAGTGCAAACGTGTATACAAATGCTCTATCATATATTTCTAAGTTGACGTTTTCTGCTACAGTTTTATCAAAAGTGTTATTAATTACAAACATCTGAATGATAACAAAGTAAGGCACACACGTGACAATCAACACGGACAGGAGAATGGTGACGACCATGGTAACTTTTCTGTGAGCACTATTTTTATTGGGAGGTGTTGGAAGACCGGGGGTGTCCTTGGACGGGTTTTGGTTGACAACCATACGGTGTATTTCTCTGCGTTGTAACATCCATACAATGTAAATATGGGTTGCAATGAGGAACAGAGCGCTGATTTCCACGATTAGACACATGACGAACTGCACGTAGTATCGTCTGTAGTGAATGGCCACTCCACAGCCGATTGAGAGGAGCCAGACAGCGAGAATACAAAGCAGTGTACGAGGGATCGTTAACAATGTCGACCACTCCATTGGTAACGTGACAATAAGCAATCTTTCCGCTGCCATGAGGATTACAGTGAGTAAGGACGCGCAAAATGCAATCCACGTTAATGGCTGTTGTATGAGCAACAAAGCGTCACTCTTATACTCGATCTCTTTGATAGGCTGGCGTAGTATGATGAGAAATAAACCATTCAGACAATCTGCAAAAGCAAGGCTGGCAACAAGAAACGAAATTCTTGTGACAAATATCCTCTTTCTTTCTTTGTACATTGAAGCTGAAAGAATGCCATTAAGAACGATCGCCAAGATGCCGAATATGTACGATAAAACTTCATTGCTTTGTACACCAGTGGACGGCATGCTTGGTATTTCTAAAATAATAATGATAAACAGAATACCTATGAGGATCTCTTCAATATATAGGAGACTTCCTAAACGGGAACATGTAAAGATGAAACTAAAACGGAAATAGAACCTAAAAAATGGGTACGTTTTCAAGGTGCGTTTAATGTACCACGCAGGCGTGACGAAGAAACAGCTATACTTGTGTTTTACTTTTGGATTTGTTGCCGGTGTAAATTTATTTTTCAGCTGTGTCGTGTTTCTTTACAAGAACGTCCGTAGTTCTTGGCTGACACTGAGGTTTTGTGCACCAGATATATTGCTATAGCCGTTGACCTGTAACCCTTAGCCAATCAGCGACTTTGAAAATTTGTTTTGCGTCTGAATGTTTTGCTATTTTAATATTTTGATAACATTTGCCATCATACTGATAACATGGCAGGCAGCCGGTTTTACAAACACATGCATAAATATTTTGTATATATGATTATAAAAGTTCGTAGATAATTTCCTAGATTTATTTCCTGTACATTAAGTAGTTAATTTTATTTTTTATTCAAACAATATTAGCAATAGCCTATCACACTTGCCAATGGTAAATTTACTCATAACTTAGGCCTGCTCTGGGACCTTAAATCGCCCTAAATCGCCCTAAATCGCCCTAAATCGCTTTAAATCGCCTTAAATCGCTATGTCAAATTGGACAAATATATCTTAAATCGCCTTAAATCGCTCTAAATCGCACTAAATCGCAACTTCATATTAGATGAATTTCTCTTAAATTGCATAATATTGGCAACAGAAAAAACAACAAAATTCAGGTTTTGGTTTTAAATCCATGCAAATACCCAACCATCCATTGGCTTTACATGCTCATATTATTAATTGTCGTTATCAATCACTTTCCGATGTAAGATTGTAAACAATAACAATGCAAAGCATGACGGTTGGCACTTATTCTTTAACTACATCTCATTTGCACAGTTTCCAACTTTCAAGTCAAGAATTGAATATGGAACAACTTCAATCAAAGTATACTGCTATACTTAACAATTATACCATGAGCTCGAGTCGTATATGAGCTGATAGCCGACGAGGTGCGTAGCACCAAGTCGGCTATCAGCCATATACGACGAGAGCGAATGGTATAATTGTTTTATAATATAGTCTAATATTAACTGAAGCAGTAATTAATTATTCACTGTTACAATGTGTTGACAATTTGTTCGGCCAAAAACCGCTTGAAAATTTGAAATACTTTTGTTTTACAACTCGAAGACGAAGTGAAAGAAATGGTTTTAGAACCTCTATATCTCACAGAAAAGCTCAGATATATTATACAGATGTTTGGTACTATAGTAAGTGCTTGTTGACTGCAAATTCATTTGTCGTTCATTGCAAACATTTCTGAACAATTTACATTCTCGATGAACATGTTTTTTCGCTGTTGTTTCGGTATTAATTCTTTGAAAAACTTGTATTTAAACTAATTTCTACGTAATAAATGTATTTTGCTAACCTGTCAAATTTTTTTTGAGAGTTTTTCCTTGTACTATTATGTTTCTCAAAGCGAATATTTTCCTTTTTCTGCTTCGCAAAGCTCATGTTTTTGGACCGCCATCTTGTTTTTCGCTACTCGCCGTATATGAGCTGATATACGGCGAGTAATTCAACCAATCAGATTGCAGAACAGCTCAGATACGGTGCATGACTATATTATAAATAGCAATATACAATCAAGGGTAATGGAATATAATGTATAAATTATGTAGGTACAAGCCAATATTTTCCTTTATATGGAATACTGAAAACAAATTAAACACCTGGGATACCATCAATAGTAAAAACATGCTTAAAAATAACAAATTCCAAAGCATATTTGCTTGGGTGAACTTTGTTATTAAATTACTGTAATACATAACTTGATATATTTTGCCTGCCAAGAATGCACAGACATGTTTTTGAGAAAGCTTTAAAGGACATGGGTCGTTTTATTAAGTATGCTAGCATATATAATCAGACTACACAAAATGAGTTGCTTTGCATTCCTCGCAAGCAAATTGTATCAAATTATTAAACAATATTTATGTAAATAAGTTTACCGTCTTTAGTAAAAATCTTTCTTTATAACCACATACCCGTTACCATAAATAGCAGAGTTCTCGATTTTACCACAATAGGTTGTTTTAACGTCATTTGTGAAATGTTTGTTGACAATCAAAAAGTCAAACACGTAGTTGAAGCAGTGGAAATACACGGGGAAATACATATGTATCGCCATTTTTAATTTCAATAATTGTCGTGGAGCTGAGCCTTAATTTATACAACGGCCAGCGGGGAAAACCTAAACACTGAACTGCATATATCACTGCACTATTATTCTGCTTGTTTTTAATAATAATTTATAAAACAAGTTTGATATATAAAAGTGAAACTATAAAACACCCTGGATATTGTGCATTTAACTACACGCTGACGCTATTTAAAATCTTACAAGTAACGAATTCATCAGATATTGGTAAGACATGCGCAAATTTGATATAATATGTATAAATATATTGACATATTGATATTGCAATTTTGTACCGTACGATCAAGGAAATTATTTAATTAAATTAAATAAAGGCTGATTAATATTATATTAATCAGCCTTTCTCACGAAGGCCAAATTGACCATTTTGGGGGTACTTGATGATGAAAAATCTAAGCGATGTGAAAACAACTAAAACAATTTTCAAATATTTAACTGTAAATTAACTTATAATGAGTAATACAAATGTCATATTCACTGATACAATCAAAGATCTGGAAAAGCCATTACCCCAAAAATGGCAGCGTGAGAAAGGCTAATTGAGCCCCTAAAATTGAACATTATAAATAAGTTAGTTGGGAACCCAAATTATGTTTTGGAACATGATTAACAAATCTTGAGCTTATTTGGTTACGGCTGAGCGAAAGTGCAAAACACACTTCAAGCCTATTAACCCACTTCAAATTCTAGTTAATTATTAAAAGAACTGGACATAATTTGATTCCACTATTACATTGCCTATCATTAATATGCCTTGAAAAGGATCTCCAATTAATTGGGGATGTGCAATTTGAAAATCTAATTTGCCCTTTAACATTTAACATCTGCCACATACAGGGCTTACCGGTAATAAGAATAACTAAATTTTAACAACTAGACTTCCAATTATATATGTCCAAATGCAGTGCTAAAAATATTAATCTCTGAGTGCTGACACTATTTCATCTGTGTTTTGCCCCAGCATATGTGTCCTCTGTGTTCTTGAACCTCTTTTCTGCCTCTGTCCACTGAGTTCAGCATATGATGAAATGTTCTGACCTGCTCTACTGCGTATAATTCTTCTTCTCGACATCTGAAGAACTTCTTCCTGAACTTCATGGGAAAGTTTTTGAGTGACAGACGTTTCCTCATCATCACTATCACTGTCACTGTTGTCCTCACTCTCATGTTGTCCAAAAAGTTTATCTCTGAACTCATCAGACAATTTGTCAAGGTTGTGAATGAACTCTTGTGTCAATTTGTACACTACCGCCCCATCCTGCCATCCTGCATTAAGCTGTTCAACAGATATAACAGCAGGCTTGTCATTTGTCTTGATCAAGCTCCCATAATATGTTTTTGCAACACCTCTCTGTAAGCGCAAAGCACATCCTTGATCAGGCTGTTCTGATGATGGTAACTGTTCGAGCCAAAATCCTGATACATGGCACCCACTAGAGGTTTTGCTGGATGGAACAGCCTTATTAACCTGCAGTAACCACCATTTGTCACCACTAGGAATGCCATTTTCTGTACCCGGATTTACTGCAGCAATATCCCCTGCCAAAAGGACAAAATCATTGTTCCCAACATTGCGCTGATCCAGTTCACTGTTGCTGTTGATGCTCTCATGTAGCTCGTCCATCAGTTGCTGAAAACTTGGATAATATCGTTTGTCTGCATCTGTTTCATCAAATAATGATGCATCCAGTTGATCCACAATACATGGTGCGTAGCCACACTTTGCCCTGTAAACATCTCTCACATTCTGCGTTGGAAGAGCTCTTGTTATCATATTCATTACTCTTGCCTTCTTTAAATCTTCTTTTAACAATGCAGCATCTTCTTCATTGAGAGGTGTTTGTATGGGTTTAAGCTTTTCTTTGATGTCTTTATATTCTTCTATAACAGATGTGGACAGAAGTGACGATCTATGGGTTGCTTGGTATGCTTTGTACGCATTTGTGTGATAAGAGTGAGGGCACTCGCAGAACTTCTTTATTATCTCCTCCTCTTCACAACCTTTTGCTCGACAATATTGCTGCATTGTAGGGTGGCGGTATTGCCCACTTTGTTTGTGCTTTGCAAAATTGTGTTCTTTCCGGGACTCATTTGTAAATGCATAGAGATTAATGCTTGCTATATCTGTATTAAGTTCATTGAATGCTTGGGAATGACACTGTAGTGAGGCAACAGATACTGCAAGTCCTTCCAGTGTCTGCGTGTAAATCGAGCCATCTGAACCATCCAGGCAGCTCTTTCCAAGATGTGCTTTCCTCTTTAACATAATGCTTTGCATAAAACTCAGACTGCTTGCTAACTTCTCAATCCCTTCTGTAAATGGCAATATTGGAGTACTTTTTGATTTACGCTTCTTGTTGTGCTCTTTCTTTGGTATAAAGCCGATTGCATCATAAATGTTCCGAATGTTTGACATGAATTCTGTAGCAAAGCTTAGTTGTGAGTAGAGCTTTATGCACCCATGATCCCGTCCTCCAATGCAACAAATTAGTGCAGAATTCATGTCAAAGGTTATTCCAGTTGGCTCATGAAGCTCCGCAGTGGTAGCATTACCATCTCTGCACCCAGCATCTCCACTGCCAATTACAGTTGAATTAATCCATGCATCTTCATTCCATTTCAACAAACTCACTCTGTGCAACCCAACATCAGTTATCCCTATCTCACCATTTGCAGCAGCTGATATGCCGAAGGCTCCCTGAAATCCTTGAGCAACAACAGATGTTTCCTTTGAGCTGATGTTGATCTCTTTGATCACATTTCCATCTGCGACCAAAATTGAGTTTGATTGCATGGGATGAAAACAAAGTCCTCTGGGAGATTGCAAGGTATTCACAATAGTAATCAACTGACCATGCAACAGGGACTCATCAAGTCGAATTAAACTCAACTCTGTGCCTGCTGTTATGGCCAGGGTTGTCGAATCGATGACTGTTAGTCCCTCTGGTCTCCATTTCTCTGGCACATGATGTATTTTCAGTGTCCCTACACATTTGGGACCATTGATGGTTTTAATACCATTAATAAAGCGGATGACATGGTTACCTTGATCAGAAACAAAACATATCTCTCTTTTTTTCTCACGACAAACCATGACATCCAATCCAGCTGGGTGACTGAACGATGCTTTTGAAGTAGGAACCTGATTTTCATTAGCTGAGCCTGTCAAATTACGGTTTTATTAAAATCACTGTATGTTCAAATTCCATCATATATTTTATGGGAAACATGATAAAAAAGTGACTACAGGTGTATGTACCACAGAATACCACACAAATTTACATGTTCCATATCTTTTGTCAAATGCATTGTTATAGCCTGTTAAATATTTTTTAGTATAGTTTTTCACTATATTTTTCTTCCTGTGGGGTCTTGGGGTTAGATTTGGCAGATTCTATTATTTTTTAAATCGGACATTCTGTGGATAAGATCCTGATGTACAACAGAATACCAGTAGGGCAATAAGTAAGGAACGGTTTATCAAGTTGTATGAGGATTTGGTGTGTCATGTTGTGTGATAACACTGCACAGATATTGCTAACTTAATTTAGTGGAAAGTAAATACTAAAATCACGACAGAAGACCTACAGAATTACTGGTGGTGTGTACCACAGTATTTTAGGCTTGCCAATAATTTTGAAAAATTGAGTTTTTTATAGTAAATTTGATTACTCAGTGAGATTCCTAAATAGTAAAAATGTTGTATCGCTTAGAAAACTGTTGATGAATGTAAATGTTGGTTTGTGAACTTATTTTCAAACTTTCTGATTTTACGGGCATTAAGCTGAAAGAAAGTACCAAAAAGAAGGAATTTTGTTTGTTGTTTATCCCGATTATTTTTAAGAATTTTATGAAAATATCCATTTTTTCGTTTTTATATGACCATTGAGACTAAAACAAATATATAGCATAAAAATAAAGTATATAGCATGTTTCCTTCAAATTTTATAAGAGAAATAAAAAAAATGGTATTCTGTGGTACTGTCATATTCTGTGGTGGTACATACACCAGGTCCTGTATAATAACTTCGGAAATACAAGCGACTGCAACTCAGGCTAATGGCTGTAAGGTGGGCTTTCAATGTACAGTACTATATGGGTAAAATAACTTTCACATGGTATACGATCCACCGAAATTAAGATAAAACTGCTGACCAGTACATGGTGCAATGTACAAGCATGGTACTCACCTGGTTCGTCCCACTTCCCAAGAGAAATACATTTGGTAGGATTGTGACGATTTCCCATAACCACAACTTCAAATTCAGCATCTGCCAAAAGAAATTATAGTTTTGACCAACCAAGTCTAATGGATCAAAAAGTAGACTGTGTTACTTTAATTACTATATATCCAACTGATAGAACTGGCTGACCAAATCTAAAACATTCCTGTTATTGTTTTCATTGGTATTCCTTTCTAAACTTTCTAAAATTATCTTTAATTACAGGAAAACATGACTGTACGATGTATTGTTTATATCATATTTACCTGTCCACAAGAAATCTCCATTGGAATTGGTAGTAATGTACAATGGTCGTCCAAGAAGTGTGCGTGTTTTCGCTTCCACAGCGTATGTCCTGTATTGCTCAGGGACCAATGTCACAAGCACATGCTTTGTAGAATTAACAATATCTTGTATACTCTCCGAAACGGTTTGGAAGCACAACTCGTCACTATGTCGATCTTTATAGGAGAACACTGCAGCTGGTACGGTTTCTTTCATTTTCTTGCTTTCCTCTGATTTGGATGCCCAGATTGCAGTTAACATGGAAACAGTAAATGTGTCAGACATGTTCGTCAATCTGTAATTCCTTGCTGAGGATATGGCATTCTTGCAGAAATGCAGCATACCGAAACCGTACTGGATATAATCAACATCATCGATGGCTTTGGCTGACACTTGACTTAACTCTGAGTGAGCTTTTCGTTGTACTGATGCTTGGTCTGAAGATACATGTATCACTTTAAAACTTGTGCATTTGACGTCCAGACCATGCGTCTGTAGAGTTTTACATCTGTTGCATGCTTCTTTATACGATGTAAATGTACAGTCACCATGTCTGCTTTCTTTAATACACTGCTGACAGACTTCAATGCTATGTACTACATTGGAAATGGCTTCTTTGACATCATTTGCCGTGCCTTTGACGGTGGCGTATTCTGTATACGCATTGATATAGAAGGCCCCACTCGCATCTGTAATGTCATACTCATTCACTTCGGAAATCCATTCACAATGTTCGCTTATATATTTCTTTAAGGAATCAGTACCGTCTTTTTGAAGTTCTACCATTTGATTTAACGTGACCGGCGGGGTAATTCCATCAAATATAACGGTCTTATCCTCTGCTCTTGGAAAGGTACCAATGTTCAGTGGCATACCATCGTAGTGCATAATACCAATGAATTTAAGGACACTGTTGTTCTGGTAAGAAGGAACTCCATTCAATGTTTTCAATATTTGCAGAAGTAATGCTACATTTTCCAAGTGAACACCCGATGTGAACACAGGTTTGGCTTTTCGTTCATCGAGAGTGGAAAGAGATGGCCCGGGATGGCAATATCGATGAACGGGTGCAATCTGATCTTTTTGTTCTTTCATTCCATACCTCTTTTCTCCAACATAGAAATTGTAGCCTCGGCGAGAGGCAATTGTTGCAAGAGACTGGCAAAAACTATAGAGAGTTGGCCACTTTTGCCAATTGGTTACAGGATAAGGTTGACGTAACTGTTCTGTTAAAAATGCATCAACTTCTTGATACATTAGATGACTTGAATCAACCATTCCAGCTTCTATAAACTGCTGTAACCAGTGTCCCAAATAATCCTTTTTGATAAGTAATTGAAGGGGCAGTTTAACAATGTTAAGATGTTCATCTATATATTAATTTTGTTTTAATTTTGTATGATTAAATATTTCACTTAACCAAAATGCAATGTGTGGAATGATTATATCTTTTATGAACGCTTGTTTAATTTCTCGCTTAGAGTGCCTATATCACTTGTGGGGCCCTTATGGATTTGAAAAGAGCGTAAAAAGTTAGTTAATACTGCGGATTCAGGTAGACCATTTAATGCGAATAGTTGTCGCGTTAGTTTTAACAGTTGTACGATGACGTTTCTAGGCAGATTTTCGACGTTTCTAAGTCGTGACTTCAACGTTTATTTTTAAAGTTTGAACGTTGTAATTACAGTAAGTTCAAAAAAAAATTTTGATTCAGTGCAACAGTTTTGAGGATATAGGCCTTTAAACAACGGACTGTTCCTGAGTCCCAGCCTCCAGGGCTATTGAATTTGGCCTTTTTTCCAAACTTCCATTGTGCATAAGAGCCTGGGCCTCAGGAACTGTTGGTGGTTTAGAGGCCTGTATCTTCGAAATGATTGCACTAAATAAAAAAAATCTTTTTAACTCATTAACTAACTTTTTACGCTTTTTTCAAATCCATAAAGGTCCCACAAGTGATATAGGCACTTTATATAAATTTATGAACGTCAAATTCCAATGTTATGTCGTTATCACTGAGTAGGTACTATCAAAAAGGCATAATGATTAAACATTCATGTAAATGCTAATCTTTCAACATAACCATCTGTCATGTTCCCTATCGCGAGGCTGGCCGTTAAAATATGATTATAAATGCTGGATATTCTCTCCTTAGCGCAATATCCATGAACATGCCAATCATTTTTACGTGGTAGAGGAATTGCAAAAATTGTGGTCGTCGTGCTTTTGGCTACGAAAATAGTAGCAAAATCCTAACGACAAGAATAATGTATGTAAACGCGAAAATTACAAATTTCAGTCGCACTTGCTAAATTTCACTAATCCTTTCCCTAACAGATCTTATGCATAATAAGATATTCACTTTTCACCCAATGGCCTCGTTTTCGTGTTGGGTATTTTCTCACATTTCATGTGCACTAGGGTTTAAAATATAACCTTATGATTGAGCTTACGCTCAACAACGACAAATTCATGCAGAAAAAGTGGCAACATAATCTTTATGTGCGCTTTCCAAACTAAAATAAGCAAACATGAAAACGAGGCCATTGGGTAAAAAGTAAATAATCGGTAAGGTCTGTTAGTCGTGCCTGAGAACTCGCCAACGAAGAAATATTCCGCTCCGCGCGTAAAGTTCCGCCTAATGGAAAATAGACTTTATATGAACTTGTGTTACCGGATTGAAGCGGATTCTGACATTCACAAATGGACTGTTCAAAAATTGAGAGTAGCTAGGAAACACCAATTTTAATTTGCTATGTTTTTGTATTTTTGAAAGAATACAATATTTTAAACAAAAGTTATACTATAGAGTCCAGAAAGGTTTTTCTTATCTAAACTAAGTGTTCATAAATTCATAATCATGCTCCCACGCAATTGAGGATTCCCCTTATTACGTTTTCGTAGCGCTTTGCATTGTGGTTATGGTGGTATCACTTATAAAGATAGCGGCCTCGAATAAAAATATTGAATGTTTTCGCGAATATTTTGCTGTTGGCAATCGCGCACCTGACCCTAGCTTTTTAAAAACATTCTTGCACGGGTCAGGACAAAAATAAGCCATCTTGAATATCAGTGATACCACTATATTAACCACAATGCAAAACCCTACGATAACGTAATAGGGGGAGTCTAGTATTTATTCAGGGAAATAGATGCTATATAATTAACTCAATGATGCCAACAAACATAACTATATTAAACGGCCCCTTCAACAATGCCACGGGCCAGGACTGCTGCCCTGACCATTGGTTTTGAAGTGATGATTGACGGATCTTTAAACAAACCAGGAACGAGTTCTGCCACACTGTCAAGCTGCTGCTCTGTGATGAAATTATTAGCCTTCCATGCTTCTAATCTTTTTACAGCAATGTCCCTTGCAGATGGTAATGCACTGCATTTGCAGTTCTTGATGTGGGCTATTACTTCTTCGGGTTGATTCATTTTTGGCAGAACTCTTATTTCATCACAAAGAGGGCACAAAATTTGAAATGGGTTTAGTAAGTACTGTTTACTCCCCCATGCTTTTTCGAGACCACTTTGCACTTTATCAAACTCTAGCAGAAATCTAGGATCGCATTCAATTATATCCGAGCATTTCGTACTCCATATGGCATTAATGCACCCTCTTTTTCTTCTCCCCTGGTCATCATGCAGACCCATTTCCCGCTTTATTTCTTCTGAAACAACTTCTTTATTCCGAATACTGCGGTTGCCTATTTGCATGGTTATTCCTCTTGACGATTGAGATTTAAGTTCCACTTTCATTTTGGAGAAGTTTGGAAGCAAATGATATGCAGTGGAAAACCCCTCGTTATCTTCACCCTCGATCTCAATTTGCATGTCCTGGCTTTGCGGAAGACTGTACGTAATTGAAAAGTATCCTACCTTCAATTTGAAAAGTTTAGCAACCTTTTCTATCAACTCTTTAGTTGTCATATTCTTTTGTACTGATATTAATTTGTACATTTTAGAACTTGATGTTTCTAAACTCCACATCTTACTATCGGGAAGAGCTACAAAGTAGATAATTAAAGATTTTAGTTTCAGCTGCAAATGTTTTGATTTCGTTTGATGCAGCTAATGCACTGGTTTTAGTTGAATTGTTATGGCTACAGCCATGCTAATCGGTTTTCATAACGTTTTCATATTGTTCGTCGTTACGAAAACACAACGAAAACGGATAAGTATGGACGTGGCCTATATATTTAAGGAGGCTCCCTAGTCCCTACAGTTTCCAATATATGTCAGTGTTTTAAACTAAAAGCTATTTGAATCTAAAAAACTAATTTTTTGCACAACTCATTGTTTCCTCTTATATAAAAGAGTGATTTTAACACACATTCGGTACTCTTCACGTTACCATAACAACATGACGTCACCATCTAT